TGATGTCCTTTGGGGCTGCTGGTCCTCCTGCTGAGAGGGAAGAAGGAGATGGACTGAGCGTTCGGGAAGATGACGAAGATGGAGCTCCCGCTGCGTAGAGCTTGGTTTGTGTCCCATGTGCTGCTGGCTTCCTGGGAGCCTGCCACACCTCTGGTCCCTCTCTCGCACATTTCCAGAGATGAGTGATGAGATGAACTTACTAACCAGCACATCGGAGCGCGGCTGGAGACCAGGCCCCGCCCACAGAATCGCCTTTCTGCTGACAATCACGCAAAAAATTCCAGCACGACCTTACAAAACTGCTAAACAGGACGCTCTGGTGGAGAGTCCCACCTGGAGAGAGGTTTTTACGTGTTCTTATTTAGAAAGGCCTGGCGAGAAGCTGGTGTCACCAACACCGATTGGTATTTTCTTTTCTTTTTCTTGTTGTTGTTGTTGTTGGTGGTAGTGGGGCTTTAATGCTGGGTCAGTTCCTCAGCTCAAGGCTAGAGTTCTACCACTGGAGCCATTTCCAGCTTTTTCTATTCATGTGGTGCTGAGGAATCAGACCCAGGACCTCATGTCTGCAAGGCATGTACTCTACCACTGAGCCACCTTTCCAGCCCCGCCGATTGGGATTTTATGCAACATGCAGCAGGACCTCCAGGACTGAAACTCCTAGCAACCTAGCGGCTTCTTTTCCTTTCCGGAATAAAGAACCAACACAACTGTATGCTGAACTTATGAGTTTATTAAAAAGTATTAAAACCTGCTTTATATATCAGGCTCGTGGATGCATAGACTGTTCACGCATTGCTCACCCCTTTCAAACACTGATCTGTTTGCACTGCTGGCTGTAGCTCTGGCCCCGTAGACTTCTGTATTTGCCCAGTGAGATACATATTGGGACCGACCATGGTCCTTGCTGAGTTAGAAGAGAAGCGTACATATTTTGGCCTCATTCCTGGCTTCTTGCAAGGGCCTGGGAAACTCTTACTGGAGACACCATTCCCTGTGTGTTGAAGAACTCACTACCTGGCTGGGTAACATGCCACCCACCCACATGAGCGCCAGAGAAGAGCTTAGAACAGGATCCACCAGTGAAGGAGAGGACAGAGCCATTCTCTCATCCCTGACCAGCTGGAGGAGCAGGCTGGGGCCTGGCCCAGCCACTGGATTGGCATAAACCCTGACCTGCCCCCTGCATGCCCCCGGCTGCTGCCGCACTCTGTGTGTGCAGAAGGCATGTTTTGGGACTGTCACCATGTCACCTGGCTGGACTGTGGAAGGCCCGTCTCACCCAGGTTTGTCTCTAGAAGCTTCAGTTGCTTGTACTGCTGAAATGTATCTCCCTAGAGTAGCAGGGAAGGCGCTCTGTCCAGCGAAGTGCTCAGCTGGGGGACCCTGGAGATGAGGGATTCCAGCAGCACGGAATGACTCTGTGAGACGACGATCGTTGAACGTTCCACAGCAGAGCCGGGGACGCTGCCTTTCCTGTCATTGTGATGCCCGCTGTCCCCAGGCCCAGCTGTCCCCAAGGACCCTTCTAAGCACTGTTCTAACCGACCCACACCAAAGTGTATGTCCAGACATTTTTTTTCTCCAATGTCTTTGAGACAGAGCACAGTACCTGGGAGACATGATGTGAATGATAAACAGCCTTTCTTCTCCCAGTGGGTTTTGAAGTTCCTGGGATCCACAGGGGTTCCTGGCTTTGCTTGCAGAGATAAAACAAAATGCCCCCTGCCATTGTGCTTAAAGTCACTTTCCCCAAGTTTTCAACGGTTATAAAGAGAAGGGAAACAATGACAATGAAAACAAACTACAAAACCATGGCGAATGGGCAGACCCAGTTGAGCGTCAAGAGCTGTTTGTCCTTCTGTGTGAGCACAGACGGGTGCTTCTCACAGCGTTTGTTACTGTGGAGACTGTCCAGAGTCTGGGATTTCCTGGAATGTTGGCAAGCTGGCCTGCTACGGTTCCTGGGCCTGGCAGAAGACTGGGACTCTTGGGTTTGAGATGAAGGGTCACAGCATAGACATCAGTTCAAGTCCCCTAAGACAAGAGTGACAAGAGCTGAAGGTTTGCTTCATCGCTGAGAGATTCCGAGCCGAGGAAACCCCGCACTTGTGTTTCTCTTCAATGAGTGCTGGGAGGGGGCCTTCTATGCACTTTTCTGAAAACTAAGGACACAGGGAATGACAGGTCTGTCCCTTTCTTTGGAAGGAGGGCCGATAATCAATAAAAACAATGATAGACAGACAAGCAATACGGTAAGCTAGGGAACTATGGGCAGGGGGGATGACGTGCAGGGAGGAAACAGGAAGTCAGGGGAGGGGGTGGACACTAGTGTGAAATGGGGAGCTCAGAGTTGTCGTGGGAAGTCCAGATCGGCCTCAAGACAGAGGGGAGAAGAGCTTCTCCAGACACTCAGATAGCCAGTGAAGAGGTCATCTGAGCTGCTGGCGTCCCGTCCCTGGAAGAACCCTAAACATGAAAGGGAGACGCCAGCAAACCTGCCCAAATTTTCTCTTGACGGGAGACAGTGCTGGCATCGCAATCAGCGCACAAGCCGTCCTTTTCTCCAGTAGAAACACACAACCTGTCCTCCCAGGTCACTTGCTATGCAAAGATCCTTGAAAAAACAGTGTAGTTCCAAAGTTGTTCACCCTTGCCCAGAAGAGCTGTGCAGATGCAAGGGACCCCACAGGCACCCCATATCTGGCCTTGGGAGAGCCCTAAGAGGCTGAGCTCTGTCCAGTCCACAGCTTGGCCACGTCTCATCCATTGCTGCCCCCCCCCCCCACCGCTGTGGCCCTGGGTCATCAGTGTCAGGTACCCTCTAGGCTGTTCAAAGGTTCTGCTGTCTTACTCCTTCCCCAGAGTTTGGATGGGCAGTGTTTCATGCAGCCCTAGAGGTCACTTCCCAATTTGAACTCTGTGTAGGGTTGACTACTGTGTGGTCATTCTAGATCAACGGTAGAGAAGGGCATAAGGCTCAGGAGTGCTGGGTGCTTACGTGTGGGTCACATAGTCTAGAGAGTAAAAGAAGACTCTTCACATGGACCTGCGGTGAGGCACCCTTAGCCCTTTCTAATGCAGCTGGTTGCTAACTAACTAGTCTTTGGCACCATGGCCAGAGATGGATTCTGGAAGAACTTTCTGGAAGGACTCAGTTGTTTCCTTGCAAACTATGAAAACTCTGCCTGTATCATGGCATCAGGTCAGAGAGACCCTCGCCGAGCAGTACCGGCTTATGTTTGGGGGCAATATTGAGCTTCAACATGCTTTCTGTCTGCAACCAGGGAATGCAGATGAGAGGAGCTTGCCATTTTCATGTTTGGCTTTTCCACCCTCTTAGCCATGGTGGGTGTGGGTACAAGATGTAGGTCAGGGATGCACGTGAATTAGGTGGAAGCATCAGGGGCCCTGAAGTGACCCCAGCGGTGAGGCCTACATGGCTCATAGTACTCTGGGGACGGAGAGACATCCCAATTCACTTCAGAGAGGGGCAGCTTTCCATCTGCCAACCAGCGAGGTGATAAAAGTGGATCCAGCCTGTTGTCCTGATAGCTCTCACTCATTTTCCATACACATATCAGCCAGAGGATAAAGAAAGAGTAATATTGTATGGACCAGGGTTCATTGGAGAACTTCTCCCAAACAAATGATCAGACAAACAGAGGTTCAAAGTTCATTGCCATTCCTCTCAATGACGTTCCTTGTGTGTGTGTCCAGAACCAGGGACTTGGGCTCTGGTGTGGCTTTTTTGTTCATGGGCTGATGCTACACCTCTACTGCTAGTTATATATGAATCTCTCGTTTTGTCTTAGTTGGTTTCAAATCATGACTCAGCCTCCTGAGTAGCTAGCAATACAGGCGTGAGCCACTTGGTGCCAAGCTTTCAATAATTCTTCTAAATATTAAGGGCACTGTCAGTCAATGGCTCTGGCTGTTGGTAGTCAGTCATTCTAGGCCCTGTCTCAGAGGAAAGCAGGATTTTCTGATACATAGCTAGCAAGTGGAGTTCATTTTAATGAGTATTTTAAGGGAAGGACTTGTATACGATCCATTTCAGAGGCACATAGGATGTCATCTGAAGGAATATTTGTACAGTTTGAGAGAACAGTTTCAAAAAGGTAAACTAAGTGTGGAGAATGCTAGGCGTTTTGGATGGATAATAGGGCTTTCATCTCCCCCCCCCCCCCGGGAAGTATTTGTTCATTTCGTGTGCTCATAGAAGCAGTTGACATGGATTCATTTCTGAAACCATGACAAGAAACAAAGTCCCGCCTCACATGCACAGGGTCACCAGCAGATGGTTTTGATGTGGTCCTAGTCCTCAGAGCTGCCTGTGAATCTTAACAGGAAGCAGCCTGCCTAGAAGATAAGTGGGAAGATGGAAGGATGGACAAGAGAAAGGGAGCCAAGTTGTGGGGAAGGAAGGAATTCCTATACATTCAAAGATGGTAATGACCACAGCAGTGTGTGTAGACCCCATTAGAACAGAGGTACTTGTGTACCATGTTATTTGGAGATGGGACCGCCATGGTGTTTGTTCAAGTTTTCTCATCAGTGTCACATCTGAGTACCAGGGGGAGATACACACACTCTTTCCACGGCTCTGTGTGAAGTCCAGGGCTGAGGAAGCAATTCAGTTCCACCTGTTTGTGATTAAACTCTCTGGGTGATCCACAGGGAAAACCATTTAAAGAAAGAAGGAAAAGACCAAGCAGAGATTTCGGGGGAGTACCATTGCCTGTGTAGCTTTGTGGGTGTAGAGGCAACATGTATGAATGCTGGGTTACGGACAATCAACGTAAAGATACACAGTCATGGAAGGTCAGGTGCAGGGCCTGCTTCCTCTCGCCTATAATTTAGTGCCAAGTGAGAACTCTGGGACAGGGGTCAGCACCTATTTCCTGTGGAGGTTAAGTCCTGTAGGCCACCCTACCTCTGTGGTAACTACCGAGGCACAGTCACAACCAGCGATTGCACGAGAATGGCTCTTGTGGTCGGTCTTTGGCCTTCTTCCAATAAAACTTTATTTACCAAAAGAGCATCAGGTTGGATTTGGCCGTAGGCTGCCAATGCTGTCCGGCTCAAGAGCTGGGATGGTGTGCGGCCTTTTAGGAGACCCAGTCAGCCCCGGGGGGCTGGAGGCCAGCCTGCGCTTTGTGGACTCCAGCGTGGCAGTGCGGGCTGGATCTCTTTGCTCTTCTCAGTGACACGCACTGGTATCCTCTCTTATCCATGGGCTCTGGGACTAGTGCTGGTGTTTGCAAACTGAACATCCACAGGACAGACTCATCCACCAGGAATCGGTGGGAGATCAGAGGAGCAGACGTGGAAGTAAAGGCAGACCACCTTTTTCTTTTTTTATTTCATTTAGACACAATGCAAAGAGTGTCTCATCAAATTAAAAAAAAAAAAAAAAGAAACCAAAAAAGGAAACCAAATGGATCCCCCCCCCCACCCCTCCACCGACGGCACTCATTCTAATTGACAACAGAAGATGGACTCGAGGACCTGGTTCCTAATGGGAAAGAAAGGTGTGCGAACGAAGGTGAGGATGGCTGTCCCCTCCCAGAAATCACTGCTCCTCCGAAACCCACAAGTAGGCGGGTCGCCCCCTCCCGTTTCCTTCCTTTACCTCTGGTGTGACAGCGCTTCCAGTCAGAAGGTTCATTAGTCCCCATGCACTTTGTAGAAAATCAGTAAAAATGCAATAGCCTGTGAAGATCATAAAACTGGGCCTCTTTCACAAAAAATCAGACGCCCAGGCGGATGAAACTCACACTCAGACAGAAAAAGAAGCAGGGCAGTCTTTGCACTGTCTGTGGTTTCAGTATTTGTCTCTCTCTCTCTCTCTTTTTTTTAATATATTTTGGCAATTTTCTTTAATTATAAATATTGGAATTCCGTAAAAAAAAGGTAGCTTTGATTGAACTGTTTAAATTGTATTTACAATGCTGTCCCGCGGTGCCGTGTGTTATACCAGGGTGTAGGATTTCGCGTAGGGATTGTTTCCTTTCAAATGGCCCCGGGAGTCAAGCAGTGACTCTTGGGAGCTGCTCATCTTAACTGCCTGTCCCAGCTCTGCGCCTTCCCGCTGAGGTAATGTAGCCACGGCCCCCTGCTGCCACGAGGGTCCTTCTCTGGTGGAGGACGTGGAGGAGGAGGCCTCCATTGGGATGGGCTCAAGGACCGTGGGACGCTTCAGGGTCCGACTTTTCTGAGGTTCCAGGCACGCTTGTCCTAAACTCAGGTCCCTGCTGGTGCCCGGAGCACCCCGGTTTAACAAGAAGTCCATTCGAAGGTATGGAGGCAGATGGATGAGGTCGCCTGAGGGAAAAATAACACGGAGAGTTAGTGGGTTTCCTTGCCTCTGTGACGTGGCCAGAATACCTTGTGTACCAGTTGGGAGCACAGGCTGAGAGATGGAGACCCCCCCCCCCCGCAATGCCCTTTGGGGCATCTTCAAGACACCTGATTGGCACCACCACAGAGAAGGTCAGACTGTCAGCACGCCGCTCTGCCCGGGCGCCAAGGGCCAGCTTCTCCATACAGCATTCCCTTTGGTTCCGAGCCGAGACACGGAGTGAGTGAGATTCAAGCTGCACAACCAGAAGGAAAACATGGCAAAGGCAACACGTCTTCCAGGCAGAGCAAACCACCCTGAGCAGGGAGGAGCGAGGGGAGTCCGGGCTGGAGGCCGGAGCCCAGGGTGCTGAGAAGGAACAACACACAGTCCGCACTGCTATTGACAGTTCTAAGGGGTCACACGACTGTGGACAGCTCTGAAGATGTGGGTGTCTACCGTGGCTGCAATGATGACATTATAAGCGTATGGTTTCTTGACTAGGCTTCATCTAACCCACTAAACTCCTCCTCCTGTCTCCTCTGTTTCAGTGTGTTGTCTGTAGAGATAATGGTGGTTGAGCCCAGAATATTTCCTTGCCCAGTTTCAAGTTTCCTCCAAGAGCATCTACTTGGGGTGAAGGCTGTCTGATGGCTGGTCTCTACCTGTGCCTACCATGAATAGAAGCCAGCTCTCCTCTGGGCTGCTTCAAGACAGTAGGAAGCGACCTTTTCTGCCCTCAACAGGCTTCTCTACCAGGCTGGCGTTGCTTATGTATTTCCCATCGGTCCCCCGGCAGGCTTCTCAGAAGGGCCTTGCGGCCTGGGGTGCTCAGGCCTGCACTGCAGGACTCACCCTCCTTCCTTCCTTTATTCTCCGCAAGCATTTTTGCCCACTACATCTCTTGCATGTCTTCTCTGTCTTGGCAGCTATTTTTTGAAAAATCTGAACTGCTTGGTTTTGACAACTTTCATGATCAAAGTCATTGTATTGAAGCTGAACCGAGACCTCTCATTGCCATTTCCGCTTCTGCCCTTGTACTACAGTATCCTTTGATGCTGTTGCTATTCTCGTTCCAGAACACCCAGCAGCCTCAGCACTGTCCCCAGGCTCTCTGCAGCTCTGACGGCCTCTCCTCATCCATCCTCCTCTACTGCACCCTCTCTCTCCATTCTCCGGGTTCAGAACTTTCCCCGAGGCCTGTTCTCAGCTTCTTCCTTTTCAGAGCGCCCCGTGCAATGTCTCTGTAAACAATTCTTCACACCTGCTCTCACCCGAGCCCTGCCTGTGAACTTTAGAAGCCTTGCTAGACATTCCCTGTGTGAATTTATATCCTGAATCTTACATGCCAGGATTCTGAAAGCCCAGCTGGGAAGGTCAGCTTTCGCTCCTCCCCCCACCTTGCTCAAAGCTACGGTCTCCTCGGTGCCCAGTGCCCAGTGCTGTTTCACGATGTCACCCTCTTCCCAGACAGGAAAGCCGGAGGCCTCTGTCCGTGTCGACGCCCTCATCTGTAGGTTATTCCACTTGCACAATGTGTCTCACCACCTACGTGGGCTCGGCTCAGGACTTTAGCCTCCATCTCGGAAGTGCATGGGGAATCTTGGAGCCCAGCTCCCAGATTGGGCCCGAGCGGGCTGGGTGCTTGCACAGTATGCTGGGATGAATGCAGGGGACTCTTTCTGCCCATCTCGATGACGAGGAATCCCTTTTCTTGGCACACCTGCAACTCATGACGTGCCAGGCAAACAGCTCTGGCTCGAGAGAGGGTTGGGAGCGTGCAGTTTTGAAGGATGTGCAGGCGACAGAGATGTGGAGGTGGTGGGGCCGAGGGACAGCTGGGGATGTAGCAGAGGGGTGAAGTCACAAGTTAGGGAGGGGCTCGGGGAACAACATGGCATCTGCATGGACAACCAGTGGTGGTGGTGACAAAGAAGGCAGGGCCAGGCATTTCTCTCTCCCAGGTTTCAGGGGTGGACAGTGCTGCCAGGCTAGGGTTTGTTTGGATGTGGCATGTGTGGTCCCCCGTGTGGTGGCAGGAGCAAATGAGACATTCCACCGGCGTGGCCTGGTGGAGGATGATTGAGGATCTGCCATGGAAGGGACCTGGGGCCCAGCCTCTCTTTGGCCTTCTGTCTGGAGGGGTGGTCTCTTCTTCCCACTCATGCCTTCTGTCCTGACCCTCACTAGAACTTGAGGCGTGTTTGTTTGTTTTGCACGGTCAGCCTCCAAACTTTCAGCTAATCAACATTTTTTTTCTTTACCTGGTTGGCATGCCTTGGTTATTTTGTTATAGTAACAACAACAACAACAACAAGACTATGTTGATAAGACTCCAAGAGTCTTATCTAGTAGGCATCCTTAGCTAAATAACAAATCTTCAGCACAACCCATGACTCACTTTCTGAACCTGAAAAACTCAAAATTCCTGTTGATTTTGTCTCCCAATGATCCATGTTCTATGTTACTCAAAGCTCCAGGTCATCCGTCAGTCTTTCCTAAGCCGGCTTTTGGGGCCCCTGGGTGGTGCAGGTGTAGGCTGGGTGATGGTATAGCCACACAAGACCAGCAAGGCATCCGTTAACAGGAATGTTGTGTGTTCAGACTGGTGGGAATTCAGACCTTCAGAAAACACTTCCAAGCTTACCCACTGAACAAGAACAGTTAGTGAAAGGGAAAGAAAGGACCAGACAAGGACAGATGAGAACTGGAGATAAATAAAACCAGGACAGGCACAAAGGAAAAAAAATTATGCAATGTAAAGGAACACAACAGTTTTCAAAATGATATAAGTTTCTTAATATTTTTTTCCCGGAATGAGAGAGAAATGATGACCTTGTTGTTGGGAAATTTATCAAATGATTTCCATGTCACTGTACAACATTGGCTTGTCACTTGGTATTTATGATTCAAAGACCCACTTACGCTTTCTCATTGGCTTTCTTAGGATGTGTTTATCCAATTAAGTAATGATGAGTAATTATATGATTTCATTACAAACTGCAGCCTGTAATTCACGACCATGGCCCCAGCAGCTTTTTGGATTTAGTTCACTGAAATCAAACACACTGTAATTCAATCTTAGCCTCATCGGGGAACATACTTCGTGGTATTCTTGTAGAAAGAAATAACATAATTTGCGTGTGGCATTCTTGTCAAAAGGGTTTTGATCACTAGTAGAGTCTTACCATTGAAGACTCTAAGACAGAGGGTATGTGAGATCACCTTTGCTCCTGATGAAATGCAGGTGGCTAGTTCTTACAAATGAACTTCATGTCCTTCAAGACTACTCTTTATTTGGTAATAGATACTGGAAACTTACTTGCAAAATGGTAAACATTTTCTATGTGTATTGACACACTGGCTGCCTTGAGCAATTTAAGAATAGGTGGAATATTACACTTTCCTCAAACCAATTATCTATCTATTAGTAAGTGTCTAGTAAGAAAATTCTATTGTTTTGCTCTTTCAATTGTATATGTAATAATTTTGATCATGTTGTACAGATATTTGAGAAAATATGGAAGATAATCCCTCTTTAGAGTTATTTTAAAATGTCAGCTGAAGAACAGCCCAGGGTTTTTTCATGGCCCAACAGAATCTTGCACTCCTGATGCTTTTGGGAGATTTGTAGATTGTTGTAGCTGGCCTGGAGACTAGTTTCTATCTGAGTAACTTCCCATGGAGTTCTCAGAACATATTAAGCTCCTACAAAGCCATAGGCTCTGGGTCCTGGCTGGATCGTCCAGTACCCAGGTCTTGGATTGGATAGAACAAATATGTTTGGAAATAAAAGAGCAAGTTCATGAACTCTGCCCTGTTCTCAAGAGTCCTCAACTTGGAAGTATTGAAAAGAAGGTTCTGCTAGCTGAAAAAGGTCAGTGAGAAGTACAAACCCTTCATCATAGGAATAGTTCTACATCACATCTCAGTGGTTGAGACTGGCTTGTGTTTGCTTGTTGCACGTCTGCCTAGCATCTCTGAACAGCTAGATTCTCTGAGGGTCCAGTATTCCACATAGAGCTTTATAGAGATGTACAGTGCTCTCATTAGCTTTGCCTTAGTGACTGGGTATTTTCTGATTAGCACTCCGAATAGCCCTTTCTACTGTGAGTGCTGGAAATGAGCTCTCTCAATAATTCATGCACATGAAGGGAAAAGCAATCCTGGAGTAGGCAGTGGTGAGCTTCGTTTATCCCAAACACTTTACATCCATTAAAATCCCAGTTCCCCTGTGAGTCAAAGCATCAGCCGGGAGACTGGGTTTGGCAGGTTCCTGGATGCCTACACATATGAATACGAGAACGTAACGGCTCCAGCAAGAACAGAGTGAAGCAGGGGACTTGGTGGCCATCGGAACACTGGCTACACGCCTACATGCTGTCTTCTACCGCCCGTTTCCACTGGGAGATACTCCAGTGTCTTCCACTGTGTTGAGGACGAGCAGAGGGCCGTGCCTGTATTTCAGAGGCACAGATTTGGATGGACTCCGTGTCCTCATGTATGAAATGGGAATAATGGCGTGTGTCACAGAGGCCTGTAGTGCAGATACCACTGGGTTATGAGCTCTACTATAGAAGGCGCAAAGAAGATTCACTACCTTAGCGTCCCAACCGGTGAATCCCCAAGGCAGCCATTTGGGGACAGCCTCCCAGTGTCTGAGTGGGACCTCACCTAGAAGGGTCTTTGCAGATGTGATGGGGTGAAGGATCATCGGGGGTTCAAGTGGGGCCCTGGCTGTCACGGCCAGGGTCTCTCCAAGAGCCAAGCAAATGGAGAAGAGAGGCACAGAGGCACCCGGGGAGAGGCCTGTGAAAGTGCATGGGGTCACTGGGGTGATTCAGTGAGAAGTCAAGGGTCACTTGGAGCCACTGGACGCCTGGATGAGGTGAGGAAGGCATCCTTCCCTAGAAACCCTGGAGGAGGCGGTGCGGCCCTGCCAGCCCCTGGAGGGGAGAACACGGCCTGGCCGGTGCCTTGACTT